CCAAATCAGGTGAAAAGCAGTTTGGATAATGTATGCCGTCCTGTTTTCTATGACATCCATCGTGTCAAGAGTGGTTCCTGCTGTGAAAGGCCATGAAACAAATGCAATGCTTTGAAAACACCAAGAACAAGCAGAAAAACTTTAAATAATAAAAAGGATGATCTTGAGGAAAAATCTGAAACAAGTGGATTTGCATTGAAAAGAAAGTGAAATATTCACACCCCAGACTGGTCAGAACCAATGCTTCGATAAGAAGGGGAATAAACGATGAGTCATGTTTGAAGTTGATTCTATATGTTTTGGATGCAAAGATGCAACTCAAGGGACGGTGCACTGATATATGGCTACAGCTGCAGGTAGATGGCAAAAAAAGGCCTCATCATTTAAAGACACCACGCACTGGGACCTAATTCCATTCATGTCACAATAGACAATAACTGCATTTCGTCAACGCATCGAATCCCAAGAAAGACTAAACTGAGAGCCCCTCAGCTAAAATGAAGTCCTAATCAACACATAATGCTGTATTAAACTCAAGTTTTTATTCAACACATCCTGCTGTATCTAAAAAAAAGGCTAATTTCCACTGATATCTGCTGTCCAGCTTGCCGTTTTGTTCGCCATCTCAACCAAAAACAACCCTTGCGTCCCACGCAACTGTCCGCAGAATATCTGGATTCCACACCCAGTCTAAAACAGACATAAGCTCTGATTCGAAAGCGTCACTTATCTCACGGAATATCAAATGATTCTCACACATCCGAACAAGACAAGGCAACTAATTGATACCATATTAACGAATATAACCGGCCAGATTTATCATATTTCCTTTATTTTTATTCTATGTATTAAACATTCATGTTACACCTGTTAACTTTTTGCAGCTGTGACACAGTCACTTCCTCAAACTGGATGAGTAACAGTATATCTAGAACTTAATCTCAGACCGGGAATAATTATCATATTATAAATGAATTAAATATTTGATCACTTTTTTGGTGTCGTTCTAAAGCTTAGGGCGCTGGTGTGCATGACAGAAAATGACGAATCACTAATTGAAATCTAACACATCTGATTTCTGGCTTTACCCTGACAATAAACCTTGGACTTGAGAAACCACAGTCGACATGTTTCTGTCACGTCCTGTCTGTGTGTGTTTTGTCTTGTCTTTTTCTGTCTTTTGGTTTCATGTTTTATTTGAAAAGTCTTCACCCCTGTTTGCCTGTCGTTTCTGCCTGTCTCGTTTCCCTCCTACGCTGATTACCCGATTCGTTGTTCACTCTGGTGCTCCTGTGTTTCTCCTCCTTCTCACCTGTGTCTTGTTTGTGTGATTACTTCTTGTGTGTATTAATTTCTGTTATTCTGTATGTTCATTGTTGGTTCATTGTTTAGTCTATGACTTGTGTTCAACGGGGTAGTGTTCTGTTTGGTTCTAAGTTTGCCCTGAAATAAAGGTATATCTGTTTATTCTGCATTTGGGTCCTGCCTGCTTCACTCACCCTAACAGAATGAACCAACCAGAAATGGACCCAGCAGATGATCCATTTGAGGTGGAATTAAGTAATTTTACCTTTTTTTTGGTTTGCTGCTTTGATTGGTGGAAGGGAGCGTCCAGTGTTCGGCAGAAGAGGGCCGCTCTGGTAGAGGCGCACCGGTTGGCAACAGAGAAACCATCTTTAGTAAAGTTTTTACCTGGCTGGATTATGGACATCCTCCAGACATGTGATTCCCGGCTTGCTAGCCCCCTGCCTCCCAATTCCCAACCTGACACCATACGTCTCTGCCGGGGGTCCTGCCAACCCTATGTCCTGTGCCGTTGGAGGTCCCGCCGACTACTCTCCTGCCGGGGGTCCTGCCAACCCTATGTCCTGTGCCGTTGGAGGTCCCGCCGACTACTCTTCTGCCGGGGGTCCTGCCAACCCTGTGTCCTGTCCCGTTGGGGGCCCGCCGACTGCTCTTCTGCCGGGGGTCCTGCCAACACCATATCCTGTCCTGTTGGGGGTCCCGCCGACACCTGCTCCGCCGGGTTTCCTGCCAACACCGTGTCCTGTCCTGTTTTGGGTCCCATCAACACCAGCCCTTGCTCCGTGGTGGGTCCCACTGACACCAGCCTGGGTTCCGTCCAGGGTCTCGTCTACGCCTGACCCGCACCGCCAGGGTTCCACCAGCTCCTGCCCGTCCTTCAGTGCCCGGTCCCCTGAGTTCCCCAGCCGCGGTCTTCGCCCTCGAGCCCGGCCCCCTGAGTGCCGCGGTCTACGCCCTCGAGCCCGGCCCCCTGATTTTCCAGGCCGCGGTCTTCGCCCTCGAGCCCGGCCCCCTGACTTTCCCGGCCGCGGTCCTCGGGCCCGGCCCCCTGACTTTTCCAGCCGCTGCCTTCGCCCTCATGCCCGGGCCCCTGAGTTCGCCCGCTGTGGCCTTCGCCCCTTTGTGAACTCTGCCTTGCCCCCGGGCCGTCCGCCTGAGACCCCCACCGCGAGCTCTGCCTTGCCCCCCGGGCCGTCCGCCCGAGATCCCTTCCGGGTCCTCCTACCTGATTACCCGATTGTGATCACCTGGTGCCCCTGTGTTTTCTCCTCCCTCCTCACCTGTGTCTTGTTTGTGTGATTACTCTTGTGTGTATTTAAGTTCTGGTTTTTCTGTCTGTCATTGTTTGTCTATGACTATGTTCACGGGGTATTGTATTGTTTTGTTTGTTCTAGTTTAGCCTTGAAATAAAGGTATTATCTGTGAAATCTGCATTTGGGTCCTGCCTGCTTCACTCACCCTGACAGTTTCACTGTTTTCTGACATTTCATAGACCCTATCAAACTAGAAAATAACAGACAGTTGAATCAATAATGAAAAAGCCCAACACCTCGCATCACTCCCATCCATGGGGGATACAGGACTTCTAAATGGAGAGACGCTCCAGAAGGAGTTATTTTCTCCTGCATGGGCGGCCTTTAACAACCTGCCTCGCTGACACAGCCGGCATCATTTAATGAATGCATACATGAAGATGTTATGCACTGTACTATATCGGTATGCTGGCCTTGTACTCCTATGTGTACATCCATCTGTGTTTCTGTGCACTGGCTGTGAAAATAAATATCTCTCTGGGACAATAATCTGAATATGAAGATGAGCTAGGAGAAATAGAGAATAGGGTTACATTTCTGATGTCCTGTCTGTGAGGATGAATTATATGTAAGTGAAATTACCTCCATTTATGATTGTTTTCTGAGAGTGGAGGACAGATGATAAACTTCTTCTATATTGTTTTTGTAGCAGAATTGACCTGCACATTTTGGGGTATAATATTTACAAGTAGTGTCTTATGTCTTTATTTTTGTAGATTGGTCTATTACTATTGTAATTTATTCTGTATTTTCAACATTGTGTATTCTTTCTTAGACACTTTTGATAAATGTAGTGAACTAGAGCTGCAACCATAACTCTTTAAATCGATTAGTTGACTTTAATACAAAATGGCAGAACATTTAGATTTCTGTCTTTTCTCTGACATTAAAAGGCGCCACCTTGGACTTTGAAAAATCAAGGTGTACATATTTCACTATCTTCTGACATTTCATAGACCAAAACAAATGAAAAATAACCAGTAGAGGAATCAATCGTTTTTATCTTATTTATTTTAATTGCTGCTGAGACAAAACAATTTCCCAAATTAGGATACGCAAAGTATATCTAATTTAATCAAATTCAAGATGGGGTAGTAAGACAGCTTGTCATTTTGTAATGAATATAAATGTTGATCACTTTTTTGGTGTCTTGTAAAGCGTTGGGCATGACACGAAAATAAAGAAATAAATCATTCCAAATCTAAATACATCTGACTTACGTAGTGGAATAAAAGGTACAAATATTTCCATAAAGTAGGAGTACTTCTGCACTGTTTTGAAGTATGAGAATTTCTATGTCATGTTACCTAAAACTCCCGCTTCACTACATTTTATTTTACTCTACTGTAGCACACATAGTATTTATTCCTCTTGCACTCGAGAAAATATTTAATTGTGCAGAGTACATGTCTACGCTGGGGCTATAGATAAGCAATATTTTAATTATTTTATTCATTATCATAAGAATTGTTTATATTTTTTACAAAAAGGGAGGATTGTGCTTTCTGATTCTGTGTCTTTTCACATTGTGTTTGCTACATGGAAAAGATTCATGGCAATAGCATTTTTGTTATCTTTAAAATCACACACATCTGAGTATTTAAGAAATACTGAGGGACAAGGGCCCTTAAACAATGAACCTCAGTCACATGTACTAATTTTACCTTTTGACAGCATCCCAGCAGACAGGTGATACACAAACAATGGGGGGGGCACGAATAGAATGCAGGAGGGATCTGAGAGAAGGCTTCAGAGGATTCTTGACTATTCTTAGTGCGGCTCCTCACACACACAAGAGGTAGGAGGAATTAAGTGATTCACCTCAGGCTGCCACTCATAGCAACATCAGCATCTGCACCACAAGTCCAGAACAATAATGACTGTCAGGGAAGCCTTTCTCAACAACTTAACAATGTTAATTAGACTTTGCTTTGAGGGATCAAATATGAGAACAGGAAGTGGAGCAATGCACTTGCTGCACTAACACTTCTAATCTCCAGTGTCCCAAATCCGGGTATTTTAGCATCAGCATTTGAACCCCGCGTCCCATGAAGAGGAGGCATCGTGTCACTTGGGATGTTTTTCTCATGCACTGTAAAACCCATACAGCTACATGTCTGTTTGCTTACGCTGAAACTCAGCCTTCCTTCTCCAAAAGCTTTTAGTTCAGCACATTTAATGGGTATTATGATTTTTAAATAGCTGCGAGATGGAGAAAATATCCAAAAACTAACATCTGGATGTGATGCTGATAAATCCCTTCGCATCAAGATTACACTCTGCTGAAATCCTGCGAAGAATAAAGATCCAGTTGTTTTTATTAATCTATTTTAATTAAACCGCAGGCTAGGGTTTTAGGATATAAAGCCAAAAATAACTTACCTCAAGCAGACCGAAGCATTTGCGACGCATTTCCAATCCTGTATTTTTCACATAATGTTCATGTGGGACGTTAAATGTCTTCTTATCACTTTAAAAAACAATGTTTCTTCACTATCCCCTGAGTCACTTGTGAAAGTAGCACGATGTGTGCAGAGAATGTGATGCTGCTGCTGTGGGAAATGTCACTTCTGTCAACAGAGAGAGACGCGTGGTGAGAAAGAAACCTATCAGGTCTCCAAAATATAGCACAGATGATCCATTAAGACGATTCTTCTTCAGGTGAGCAGCTTCCCTCTCTTTTCCCTTGGTTTCTCTTGAAATTAAGTCATCGAATCCACCTTTGGAGAGAGAAGCGCACCATCACACAGAAACCACGGTGCCCTTCACAGCTGGCCCCGGACCAAAAACTCCCTTTGCATGCGTTTTTCTGTTCCGCCGGCTACACCATCGTGTCCCACCGCTTCCTATCCGGTGTGTGAGTGCCGGCTGCGCTCCGTGCTCCAGATCATGTCGTCGACGCACCGCCCACGTTGTGCCATTTAAACCGGGGTGTGCTACGCGACTGAGAAATAACTAAATTCCTCATCCCGGAGTTAATTATGCAACGTCTCTACGCGGTTGCACATCTTAATCCATAATCCCTTTGCGATCTAGACGTCACTGCTGTGAAAGTTAGACGACGGGAGTAAATTGATTTTGGAAAGAGGAAAGGATCCGCGCGCATTACAGAAACTAAGAGAGGCTTACACAGGAAAGGGACCCCTGTTCTCCAGCTGAATTAGTGCCAAGATCAGAGTTGACTGATTTGGCCGTGAGCAAGATGGACAGATGGTCACACTGTGTCAACACAGTTCAGAATGTCTCCCCAGAGGAGGCAATTTCAAATAAAAAATCCAATGCAAATCATAAATTTCAACGAACATGCCTGTTAAAGATAGACTTCGAAATGAAATGCTTTCAGATTAGTGCTGAATCAATCGATCAATAAATAAATCAGTCAGTCAATCACTTAATTTAATGACAGTTAGGAAGCTCTGTGTGGTCCCACTTTAGACCTGCTGGTTTATAAACTCATTAAAGGCATGAGAAAGACATTTCCACATTTTGGACTCTTTAAAGATAAATACATTTAGATTTATTTGGCCACAAGGAGGCAGCAAATAACAATGCCTGACGTGTTTTGGACTAATCTCGTTTTTGTTTACATTAGCAAGCCTCGCTAACACTCAGAGCTAACCTGTACTGAAAAGCACGTGTTTAAAAAGCAGGAAATAAAAAAAGGAACTCACCTTGTGATAAACCCGCAAGAGAAAAAACATTTGAGCTCCATACTGTTTTCAGAAATAATCCTTGATGTGGTTTAGAACATGATGGTGTTTTATCACAGCATAATTTAACTTTATCTACGAAATCTAAGAGGATAGCCTACAGTGGGGGCGGGGCCCCATAAGGTCCGGGGCTCCCCCGCACTGCGGGGGGTGCGGGGGCCTCCACTACGCCACTGAATATATGCCTTAAAATAGCATGATAGGTGCACTTTAACATAATCCTCCCTTTTTAAATTGATGTGATGAACTTTGACCGAACAATTCTTTTGTTATACATTAAGCTGATACTGAGCAACAGGATACTCTATCTCTATCTGTCGGCTGTTTAGTGTCACAGCAATCACTTTGAATATAAGAATGTAAATACTGAGTTAAGAGAATAGTCAGGGGATTTGGGTGATGGGAGACACATCTATGGAATCAAAATTTCAATAGCTTACCATTAAATGACGGATATACCTTTCTGTCTGTGATGTTTTACAAATCAGATATTAATTTGTAGAAGTAAAACATGAGAAATAGTATAGCAATATCCTGTAAAATCATGTAAAAACATGAATAAAAATACACATCTTCAGATGTTATACATACATAAGTGTCCTACACTAATAGTACAAAGTTATTATTAGTAAACTGTGTGTACCTTGTGTGCACCGCCTAGTGGTTAAAGCACGTTATTGAATTACTTTTGTTGAATAATGTAATTTGATGAAAAAAATATTAAGAGTACATACTTTCATAGGGAGAAAGTAGAAGGTCAATGATAGAAATATAGAATATAAAAAACCAAGAACATACTGTGATCTCTACAATAAAACAGTTTAGTGCCGGATGTAGAAAGATATTAATATGAGGATGTGCAAAACAGACAAACTAATTAACCTTTATTAACACATTAAAGAATACTTTAGGTTAAGCACTTATTTGAACTGATAGTATACACATTAATTATACTCTTATGTATGTAGATAGTATAAGAAATGTGCATACGACAGTTTAATGGTGGAGGTATACACACATATTGATAGATGTCTTTTAATGCACTGTTGAGGAACCTGCGACCCAAGTTTTTCTTCTTCGACCTTGTCAGGTATTGAACATTCAATAAATAAAGAGCACAGAATTATTAAATATAAAACACAGAATGTGTGTGATTATACTAAATGATTTACAAATAAACACCACTGCATATTTACAACTGTTACACATGCTGATGTAACGCAAATGTTTCCAACTTGGGATCAAT